AGTTATATTCCATAAATGTTCGATATTGCTCCCAATCAGCTCTATGGTAATTGAAAATAGAGCTGTTGGGATTAGAAATTATTTCTTGGGATATTTCAAAAGTTACTGGAAGGTGATCAGAACCGAAGTCAGCATGGGTAACCAATTTGATACAAAGTTGACATGAATCAGTTAAGACCAAATCAATAGTTGAGGGATTTCTTGCTGAAGAAAAGCATGTTGGGCTGTTTGGATATTGAATTGTGTAATAACCAGCAGAACAATCATCAAACAGAATATTACCATTGGATTTGCTTTCAGCATTATTCCATGAGCGGTGTTTTGCATTAAAATCACCAATAATAAAGAATTTAGACCTATGACGGGTAAGTTTTTGAAGGTCACCCTTGAAAAATTCTTTTGCTGGCCTACGCATTGGAATGGCAAATAGGCAGTTATAAATGTAAGTTGTCCAAATTTTGTTTCAACAGAAACACCCAAAGTTTCAAAAACTTTGGTTTCAAATGAAGAAAGTATTTTATGTTTGATTCGTCTTTGAATAATGATGGCAACGCCACCACAGGGTCCATCAAGACGATCATTTCTACAAATCAAATTATTTGCGTCCTTCTTAACCTTATGGCCAGGTTTAAGGAACGTTTCAGTTATAACGGCAATATGCACGTTATGAACTCTAAAAACGTTAAATAGCTCGTCTTCATTATCTTTAAGAGATCGAGCATTCCAATTTAAAATATTTAATGCTTTAAAATCCATTACTGAATTTTAAAGTCATGACAATATTGTTTGCAAATTTTACTCCAGTTCGAAAAGCATCAAACATGGAGTTAGATTTAAGCATATCAGAAATCATGTCAATTAATGATTTCTGTAAAAATTCCATTTTAGGGGCAGTAATTTCCGTTAGAATTACGTTGGTTAGTATTTTGATTTCTACCCGCTGCAATAGTAGCATAGGTAGCTCCATTAACTCGCTGAACATTGTTAGCAGCGAGGGGAGTATGTACAGATGAAAAATTTGAAGCAGGGGTGATATTTGTACCTCCGGGTACGAATGTAGAATTTGTTCCTCGCTGACCTGGTCGGAAACGTGGAGCGAGCTTTGCGAGTCTTACATTCCCAAAAAATGGATTTGTGGTTTTCACCACAATTTGAACATTTAAATTTCTTAGGATCTTCCTTCACAGGACAGTCGTCCTGTGCGTGAGAGGAATCACCACAATTCATGTATTAAGCTGGCATGTAGCAATTTTTAATTCCGTGATCCCATCCCTGGCACTTACGGCACTGAGTGAGGTTTTGGAAATTTCCTCCAGTCTTCCTGAAGTGTTCCCACTTCACTCGGACATGGAGCATAAGGCTAGCTTTTTCTAAGGCCTTAAGGTTGTTTAGTCATTAGAAATCCCGTTGCGTGAATCGCCAGGACGGGATTTCATTTTCATTTTGATTACTTGGAGTGGCACAACTCCAAGTAATTTTGCCAGTTCATCTTTGATCTGATCCAGGGATTCACCACTGGGCAGTCCTTTCATGACAACCTTGAACACACGTTCAGTTTTGGTGTCGTAAGTAAAAAATTTGTGCTTCTTCTCAGTAAGATACTTGAGAAGACATTTAAATCCGTCCAAGGTTTCAGCCAATACACGGCATTCACCCCGACGTCCAATTTGTAGTGAAAACTTAACTTTCACGAAATTCAAAAGTTCCATGCGAAGAGCATGGAAATCGGAAGTGGTTATCACAATAGGGGGAATCTTTTCCTTCTTGACATTATGCCGGGAAAGTTTACTAGAACTTTTCTTGGATGATGGATCATTCTCATCATCCGTGAGCAAATCAAATTGATTACTCAAATTAATTTCATCAGAAGAGGGATCAAGAGTTTGCCCCTTTCTTTTGCGTTTAGGCGCCATGGCGGCAGTAAATTTTTATCCAAATCGACTTCCAAGCAGATTACTATAAGAATCTGAAGGATCGAAGAGGAATTTTCCAAATCGATATTCAAGAAGGATTACCTCGGGTAGGGTCCAAACAAGGATCGAAGAGGAATAAGAGTTGAACAAGGTAGACAATTTTTACAGGTTGCGCACTGAAAAGTGCTGTTTAAATTTGTTGTAGCTTTAGGTAGTAGTAACACTTCTTTAAGCAAAAAGCAAATAGATTCGCACGGCAAGAGAGCACGATGCGGATGTCCGACGCTTTGTTGTTGTACAGAACGAGAGTAAAATCGAAAGTCGGGTGTGGGGTTTGCCGGTGTCAAACGCGACCGACAATAACAACGGACTACAACAAACTACCAATCGATATTTCAAGAGAGTCACTCACAATCTTGCACACATTTGCTTTGTTTATCAATTTGACAACCGTTCGAACAGAGTAAAGCTTGCTGCAATGCGTCTTGGATAGTGTCTGAAGCTGGCTGCGATTCGACTTTGCGACAGTTTGTTCGCTTCGATCCAAAATGGCAGTTTCCTTTGCGACGGAGATGGTCACCACAAATTTGGTAGGACCCTGAAGAACGCGGACATCGGAGGCTCTCTGAGTAGCTTTACCATCTTTCGGACGTTCTACTGCAGTCGTTCCACTATTGACCACCTGCAAAATTTCAACCGCTGTGCAATGGTGTAAGCACGCCATCCCGAAAGTACCAGCATGTAAATCTCTTGGATATCAAATGACCTACCCATAGAATTTCTTTTAAGATATCTAGATGGTTGGTAAAACAGGTTCTCTATATTGAAATATTTTTGAACCATCAACAACTCTTTCGATGGACACCAGGCAAAACAACAAACGGTCCTTTTCAGGGCCACCATTTGAAAAACAAAAGGCAAACAACCAACAACAAAATGGCCCTTTTCTGTTCCACCAGTTCAAATACAGAAGGAGGTGAGATAATAGATTTTCGAATAATTAAAAGAGCTAAGCACAAACACGTTTGTTCCGACCACTCACGGCCTTTGCACTACATATTCCAGATCTTACACCGTTCGAAAAATTCATGTAAATTTCTACGAGATATAGCGCACATAAAATTAACGCAATATTTCGTGAAAATGTATGCGCAATATCGCATAAATAAGCAATATTGTATGCAAACTTGTAAACGTTTTTGCCGTTTATGCCAAGTATAGCTCAATATTAAACGAAGAGATAGTTTAATATCAAACAAACTGTTAAAAATACAGATATCAATAATCACTATTTTTTAATCAGCTACACGGTAGCATTCGTAAAACAACCGGCCGTTATCAGGGCCTCCAATTCAAAAACGGAAAGATTTAAGATAATAGATTATCGATCAATTAAAAGAACTACACCCAACCGAGGGATGTAAGATTCGCTTACAATTATGTGGGATTCATCATCAGAGGATGTTAGTGGAGACCGTATGAACCGAGGATGCGATATACCTAGCTGCGGTCCAATGCAAGAAAATTGGAGACCGAAAAATGTAGAGTGTATTAGTGAGGTAAATTAGTTATGTCGAAAAAAATAGGAATCCGATTGCCGACTGGACTCGAACCAAGAACGCTTCGATTATCAGACCTGTGCTTTCTCCATGCTCCTGAATATGGATAGCCTAAAAGCAAAGAAGAAGCGCTCATTTCCTCTCACTCTCGACTTCGTATGCTTTTTCTGCTGGAGAGATTCGAGGCAAGTGTGTGCGTCGTTCTACAATGTTCTACAATGTGCGTCGTTCTACAAGCTTACTGGTATAGTCGAAAGCGTAGATGGAACACGAAATAAAAAAAAGACATAAAACCATTACATCGCCTGTAAGGTCAATTTCTAACATTCGTTGCGATGTTCATGAACAGAGGATGATAGGAAACGGAACTAACATTCATTGTAATAGATTTTTGGTTTGCGTGTTCGATGCTCTCCAAAGTATTCTGGAGCTTTAAGTAAAAATAGTGATGTTCCTTTTTCGAATACAACTTTTTTTTGTACAATATTGTCTTAAGGTACACATTTGTCACAAATCCATTTAAATCATTGAAAAAATAAAATACTAAATGATCCATCTGCCCAACTTCTTCTGCTACATCATTGTTGCTTACAAAGAGAAACGGAGCGAGTATTGAGTCATAAAAACCTTCCGCACAAGGGAAGAAAAAGTCCTATACTAGTTTCAGTTAAAACTGAAGTCTATTACTTTTTTTTTGCGATTTGCCACAGATGCCATTTTAAAAATTCCCTCTATTTTATCACTTCCAGCTTCCCCTCAGAAGACAAAGGTCAGAATCGTAGAAAAAAAGTGTTAATGGGAGATGAAAGCGCTTCCATGTTCCGCCTCTTGCTAATGGACTTGGAACGTTTTTCTGACTTGTGAACTTTTTTTTTTGCGGACCGTTTCTGACTTTCTTCTCTTTTACGTCCGATTTGCTGTAATTTGCATATTGTACTGTGCTATCCAAATCAACCACTCAACCACTCGTTCTTCAATTTTCAACCATGGAAAGGTTCGGTGCTATGCTCGCTCTCTATTGTGCGGTTTGGTAGTAGCGATAATCAACTGCAAAATTTCCGCAAAACAATTTCCCTCATCTGGCATTTGTTCTGCTAATGCTAACGAACAGGAAGACCTCGTTTGATGTAATTGACGCCGAAGTAATTTGCAGGATTTTACGAAGCTTCTCCCGAGCAGATCAAAAGTGCAGTGGAACTAGCTTTTTGTAATGATACATTTGAGACTATAAGTGAATTCCCTCAATCCCGTTCGTCGACTTTGAAATCGAGCTCGAACCGAATCAATATGCGCTACCCAGAAGAAGGAAAATAATGGAAAAACTCGCAGCAAAATTAAATAAAATTTATCGTGCAATGAAATTTGCTATCTTCCTTCTGCTGTTGCTGCTGTCCGTCCATGGTGGGGTCCATGGGATTCCATTTCGTCGAAACCCGAGCGGGCGAGCTTAATGCAATAAATTAAATTCAATTCCTTATTTTCCATGTCTCTTATTTCTCTTGCATTTTTTTTTCTTTTTCGATTGCAGCACCACTTTATCTGGCGGAGGCAGTCCAGGGAATGACCGGCAAGCTGAAGTGTAACATCACGCCGCCCATCGCTGGCGACCGGGCGATTCTGGTCATCTGGTACAAGGGGAACGAATCGATACCGCTGTACACGTAAGTATCATGGTTTGTTTGTTTCCCTCTATTGATTGCCGGTTTGTGCAAGAAGCGAAGGTATATATTCGAGTGTTAAGTACCGATAATTGAGGGTTTGTCACGGGGAGATCTATTGCATGCAAAAGGTTCATGTGGAATTGGGCAAATTGATGTAGACCGCAAATTTAAATTACAGTTAATTTTAAATGGCACATTATTGCACTTTTTGTTGTTGAATAAATGTTTGGTCGCCAGTGTTGCCAGGTTATTTGCAATGTATCAACGATGGTCAAAACGGTGTTATTGAGAGATTTTAGACCTGCCGCCCCATACTTAGACGATAGTTCATAACAGTTTGTAAAAAGTGGTATAATTCGAAGGCACTCCATCCCTCCCCTTGCTCCCTACTGTACCCATCCTACTACAAGTTTAACGACAACTCTTAACAGAATTAAATTTTGGAAAAGAGTCCGAGAATTTGTAACACTTAAAGCGCATTTCTAATAGGCCCGATGGTGTTCTGGAGATGTATGGAGGACGTTAAAAATGGATAAACTGGACATTAGGGTGGGTCAAATTTGTATGGCGTATGACAACTACATTTTTCTCACTGCTCAATCGATTTGTTTTAATAGATTTTAAGAAATTTGGATGTGTTTTTCGAATAACTGATTACATCAACAGATTCCGGTGGACTGTATGACATCCTTTACGCACAGTCTTTTTATTAACATACTTTCTCAATTCGCTGGGCTGAAGTTATTGTCTATTTCTTGCCTCCCATGTCTAATCTTATTTATAATACTCATAACTGATCCTGTGCGGTGTAGCTTGCGGGAGGTGATCTCGAATAAGGGTGCGCTGTGTACTCGAAAGCCTGGACGAGGATCTCGTGTGTTTTTCTTAAGTGGGTTGCAGCTCATAAGTGGAGTAATAAAATGTGCATTAGTATGTTGAAGATTGTCTAGTCCGATCAGTAATTTTGGTTGGACTAGATCGTGATCTTCTAGTGGCAGGCCTTTGAAGTAAGGAAATCGTTGACTCATGTCACGGTAGTTCAGGCGTTGAGAAGGTAGAACCAGACAGCTCACTGTACGTGCATGGCAAAGATCGTAACGAGCACTACTGTTTTACCTCGCTATCTCAAAGTTGATTTGCTGAGACCGCGGCTCTTTGCGTGTCATGTTTCCAGTCCACTAAAACGTCTGGAGGGAGGCCATCCAAGACGTCAGAGGTAAAAGTGACTTCAGACAGAGGAAGTAAAGCGCAATTGGCTATCCGGAGCAACAGTACTAGGTCGTCGGCTGTACAGAAGCACCTATAACTGGCAGAGGAAGAGGCTAAACTTAAGGAACAAGAGCTCAAGGAGGAAGAAGAACTCCGACAACGCGAGCTCGAAGAAGCACAACGCCAGTTGGAGGAGAACCGAAAGTTGCTGGACGAGGAGCTACGTTTGCGTCAGCTAAAGCTGGAAGTGGACAAAGCGCATTTGCTGAAACAGCAGCTTATCCGCAGAGAGTCTTTGGAGAAGAGGACTGAGATTTTTTTTTCCTTGATTTGTTTTCCGTCGATCTTGTTTTCCGTGCTGAGCACCAATGCTACCGACGCCAGGAAGGCAGCTCCCACACCTGGACCCTACCTATCGACCCATCAACTCATGAACCGGGGACCAACGGCTTTACTTCCCTTCCGAAGGAAGGCGTGATCCGAGATGTTATGCCTCAGAACATCCCGGCGGCGCCGACTGGGATTGAACCCAGGCCTGCTGGGGTGAGAGGTAATTACGCTTAGAGAGGACTGAGATCATGTTGCAGATTTCGGAACGTGGTAGTTTAGTGAGTTCCATCGCAAGCTCACGAGAAAAAGTTACGGAATGGTTGAATGTTAATGAACCTTATGGGAAGACTGGCGGGAAGGAATTGGAACCACAAGATGGAAACAATTCCAGAATGGTCCCTCCGGCCCCAGAAGAGCTACTACCAGAAGGAGTCTCTTCGATGTCAGTGAATGTACCCACTTGCCGTGGTATCCTTTCATCTATATCTGTCACAAATCAACCACGCTGGACCTCTGCTCAACCAGCTCACTCATGTACAGAAACATCACCTCGGCAAACCACAATCCCACCTCTAGAGATACCATCACTCATCGTTAGAAAACCATTTCGTCGATACATATCAACCTCGGAACCTATTCCTCGAGAAAAATGGCCTCCTATCGTACCAGATCCATATCACTCGCCGGTCTGTGGTCAACGCACTCAACACGATGATTATCCAGTTTCCATGACATCGTCGCTGCGTCGCAGTCCATGGAACACACCCTTAAGACATAGTTCTCCCTTAAGCAAAGTCCACCGAGAGTTAGAAATCCTCCTTTTCCACGTGGTCCACCGTTGGTACGTTATCCACGGACTTTGATCAACCCGCCGATACCACGTGATCCTTCAATTCCGCAAGATCCACCGATGCCACGTGATTCACCAGGTGCTCTTAGTTCTCAGCAAATAGCTGCCCGACAAGTGGTCGGAAAGGATTTACCCACTTTCAACGGAAACCCCGTGGACTGGCCGATGTTCATCAGCAGTTTTGAACAGTCTACGATTAGTTGTGGATACTCCAATGCTGAAAACCTCGTTCGTCTACAACCGTGTCTCGTTGGACATGCTCGAGATGCAGTACGAAGCAGACTTCTGCTGCCAGCCAGCGTGCCACAAGTAATGAACACTCTACGAACACTTTATGGACGCCCGGAACTACTCATCAGGTCCCTGCTCGAAACTATTCGAAAGACACCGGGCCCTAGACATGACCGGCCCGAATCGATCCTCGAATTTGAACTGGCAGTTCAAAACTTTGTTGATCATCTCCAAGCAGCGCAGCAAGTAGACCATCTTTCGAACCCGATGCTCATGCAGGATCTGGTAAAGAAGTTGCCAGGACCGATGAGGATGGATTGGGCTGCATTTAAGAGCCAATGACTTCGAGTATCTGTTCTGACGTTTGGGGAGTTCATGGAAAGATTGGTAAAGGCGGCCAGCGAAGTGAGTTTCGAGCTTCCTGGATATCAGAAAATCCCGAGAAATGAGAAGCAGCGGTCAAAGGAGAGAGCAATGGTTCAAACCCACTCTTCCGGAAATTCTGCCGGCTTCAAACAGCTCAGCGAAACCGGAAATCCACGCAAATCAGCTCGAACATGCTGTTCTTGTAGTCATGAAGGCCATAAGATAGCCGAATGTGTAAAATTCAAGCAGCTACCTATGGAGGAACGATGGAAACTAGTAACGGACAAAGGTTTGTGCAGGACGTGCTTGACCAACCACGGAAAATGGCCGTGCAAGTAATGGAAAGGATGTGGAATAGAAGGGTGCCGTTTGAAACATCACACACTCCTCCACTCCAATTCCAATCCCGCCTCGTCATCGCATTCCGTGAACATTTCGTCGAATCAACTCTCATCTAACGAACATCAACCACTATTCCGGATTCTACCGGTAGTTTTATACGGAAAGGAGAAAAGCATAACTATTTTCGCGTTCATCGACGAAGGCTCACAAATCACTCTTCTGGAGGAAAACGTTGCGAAGGACCTTGGCGTTGTGGGCCCTACGAAACCACTCACCCTACAGTGGACAGGAAACATGACACGCAAGGAGCCGCGGTCTCAGCAAATCAACTTTGAGATTGCGGGGAAAAACAGTAGTGCTCATTACGATCTTTGCCAGGCACGTACAGTGAGCTGTCTGGTTCTACCTTCTCAACGCCTGAACTACCGTGACATGAGTCAACGATTTCCTTACTTCAAAGGCCTGCCACTAGAGGAACACGATCTAGTCCAACCAAAATTACTGATTGGACTAGACAATCTTCGACTTGGAGTTCCACTGAAACTGTGCGAAGGAGGTCCCCAGCATCCAATAGCCGCTAAGTGTCGTCTCGGCTGGGGAATATATGGGTGTTCATCAAAACAATCTGCACCAAGGGCTTCAGTCAACTTTCACACTGCTGCTGCGTCCGATGTGAACTACATGCTCAACGAACAACTGAGGGACTTTTTCACGATGGAAAACTGTGGAGTCTCCACTACCTCAGAAAAACTAGAATCTGAGGATAACAGGAGAGCAAGAAGATTGCTCGACGAGACCACACGGTGTACATCATGCGGATTTGAAACGGGTTTACTGTGGAATCCCATGGCAATCCGTCGAATGAAGTCCTTGGAAAAGAAGCTGCAGAAAGAACCATCATTGATAAAGCGAGTTCAGGGGCAGATAACGGAACTCGAGTGTAAAGGATACATCCACAAGGCCAGTGCGGCAGAAATTGCTGAAATAGACTTGCGAAACACTTGGTTCCTTCCGCTAGGTGTAGTCATCAGCTCGAAAAAACCAGGAAAGATCCGGCTCATTTGGGATGCTGCTGCGAAAGTCGATGGGACTTCGTTCAACTCACACCTTTTGAAAGGCCCGGACCTCCTCAGTGGTTTTCGCTTGTTTCCGGTTGCTGCATCCGGAGATATCAGGGAGATGTTTCTGCAAATCAAGCTACAATCTAAGGATCGTAAAGCGTAGATGTTTGTATTCCGCAACAGTCCTGGTCAACCATTGCAAATCTACGTCATGAACGTTACTATGTTTGGGTCCACTTGTTCTCCAGCTTCAGCACAGCACAGCGGTGAACGAGGAACTGTACGATCGTTGGCGACAGTGGATTGGTTATTTTCCCCAGCTGGATACCTTGCAAATTCCACGGTGCTACTTTCAAACGCCATTTCCGGACAATTTCGATCAGCTAGAGCTCCATGTATTCGTCGATGCCAGTGATTCTGCCTACGCTTGTGTAGCCTACTTCCGGCTTCCATCTCAATCCGGCATACAGGTGGCCTTCATTAGCGCAAAGACGAAGGTTGCACCTCTCAAGGTTCTTTCAATCCCTCGTCTAGAATTGAAGGCTGCAGTCCTTGGAATCAACCTTCTTGAGGCTATCCAAAGTTATCACACCTATCTCATAAGTCGACGA